ATCTGCAGGTTAGTTGGCATTGATTGTCTCAAGGGCCAATGAGTGCATTTGTTCTAGAGGAGTGATTGATTTCCTAAAGTAGTCAAGAGGCTGGGTGCAACACACTACATCAGTGTCTGCTATTGTGTTCTGGGGGTTGAGAGAGACTTTTTAGTTTTTCTTCGATTTGTAATCCTTTATCAGGTTCTATGGCCTTCTGAATTTGACAAGATTGCATTTTCAGATGTCTTGGTCTATTCTCATAGTTACTGAAGATATTATCTACGGGAATGCGCAGTAGCTACTCATACAGGATTAAGGCCTTCTCTTTGATAAGGGAACATATTAAGGTGATCCATGTAACCCGAAGTATTGCATCAATAGGTGTTGATTATATCAGTCCAGTAATTGGGCGTATTGCCTTTTCGAGTAGTTTGAGAATCACCTCAGATGATGCAATGAGTGGCTCACATTAATATAGCATTTTTGGTTGAACATGCATTTTGTAAGTTGTGTAGGGTTGAGCGTGAACAGCCCTATGTTCTACCAGTGAGGCGCTTCAGTACATTTAGTATATTGGAGACTTGTTCTGCTACTTAAGCAATGTAGCTTTTCCATGTTAACTTTTTGTCAAACGATATTCCTAGATAAATGCCTGCCAAAATATCATATATATTTGGGGTAATGACTTTGTAAAAAACTTGAAGCACTAAAAACAATAAAAGAATTAGTCTTTCTCTCAATGAGTGGGCACTCATTGATGCTTAAGGAATTGACCAATAAGGAAATTTGTTATGTTTATGCAAAATAGAAAGGCCAATGCAACATTTTCAGCTTATCTTTTAATAAACAAAAGATAATTAGTGCTTAAAAAGTTAAAATTTAACGTCAGCAAAGATAATAATAGGGCATATAGTAATTAGGATTAAAATTTAAAATTATTACTCGTATGATGGACTGAAATAAAAGTTTTATTGACAGCAACTGCTAATTTACATTCTTACATAGGCAACTAAAAAGAAATATACTTTTCTTTAATGAATAAACTTAAAACTCAAAAAGAAGGGGGGGGGGGATCAAGTTCACACCAACGTCAACACTTGTTCAATTCTTCCTTTTGGTTTGCTGACTATCGTTTTTCATCTTACTCAAAACACATGCATTGTCATGTTAATCATTATTGACATCCCGATTCAAGTGTATTTGTTGACAATCGTGTAAAAGTATGAAACAAATAACTCATCATTTTTTACATCTTTCAAGCATACTTCGTCGCACAAAGCGTTCTCTACTTTATAATTTTTCCCGTTTCTTCACTAACTGACATAATAACGTTCCCATGTTGTATTTAGATTTTACTGGTCTTACTGAACATAGTTCTTCATTTTCATACCACATCACTTGTTGATTCATCTAGCTAAAATGTTTGCCCGAAAAATACTAAAGTTTTTTTAAAATCTTAAAATAGTCCGTGTACTCTCTTTTGACGGGGGTTTAATTGTCAAATCAGGTTAGTGGTGGTGGCCTGTTTCAAAATATCTATTTCAATTTTTGTATCTAGTTTGTACTTTTGCTGCGATTTAATATTCTTCATTATTACACTACATCATTCGATGAGTCTTATCACTACAAAAACTGAACCGTGAGAGTGGGAAAAAAATTATATAAAGATAATCTTCATAAGAGATTATGATACCAAATCAGCAGATTGCATATGGTGTGCAGTTTTAGACCAATTCTTGTATGCTATTCCTGCTATCTGCTTTCGAATATTCATTTACTTTCTTAAAAATGAGTACTTTGTCATTTACGCCTTCATTATTCTTTAATATTCAAAAGAAAGAGTTTGAAACAATAATTTTAATGCTTTGATTAAATTTTTCAAATTAAATTAAAAGTATTTTTATTTTTTTACAATGAAATAAAAGCACACAGTTAAAGCATTTAAGAATTAGAAAAAAAATTAAAAGTAGTGGTATTCAGACCAGCTAAAGTGAAAGTGATCCTAGGGTTCAAATTAGGGTAGCAATATTTAGTTTCAAATTTAATACTTTTAAACAATGAAATAAGGTTTAAATATGTAGATACACGCAAATCCCTTCCAATTATAAAATCAAACATGCAATCAAACCATACTTTATTATAAGTGATTTTCAGTCAAAAGTTGCATTTTTCAATTGAGATTGACTTTGAATAGCTGTGTTTACTGTTGTCCTATCTGTTTCCCGTCACCCTCTTTTATTTCTTGCTCCTCTGACTGTTCACCTTCACCTTCAGGGTCCTGATCAGTGGAAATTTGAAGTTCAGGCTCCTTTTGTTCCCCATCAGAGCTGGCCTCAGTGGGAACGGGACGATTTTCTGTATTAGGCTCATCAGTTGAAGGTTTGTTCACTTTAACAATTAAAAGTTTATTTTCAAAGAATAAAATAAATTTCATAATTTCAATATACAAATTTCCCATTCTCAGTGTTAAAACCAAGAATCGAATTTCTTTAACCTCAAAATTAAGCTTGAATTGAAAGAGAAAATTACTTATCAATAAAAAAATGTTTACAATGTAATGCATTAAAAAATGGCACATCGAAACTAACTATTATTGCCACAAGCCTTCACAATGGAGATTAGAGTAACGAAAAGGATAATACGTGGGATCTATTTAGTAAATTAAATAATATTAGATTTGGTTGATAGAAATATTTCATGAGATGCAGCTATATTACTAATTTTTGCATGGACGAATCAGAGTTAAAGATCGACTTTGTGGATTTCGCTCAGCTTTTGTTGTTCAACAAAAATTGAAATGCAAAGATGCCTTATTTATTTCCGCGAATATCCAATAAAGTAAAAGCACATGACGCAGAATAATGTCAATCAATTGGGAAATCTTCTACCATTTCAACATTGGGTTAATATTAGGGGAATGACTTGCATATTTATCTAAATATGGCAAGAGATATTTGCATAAATTTAGTATTTGACTAAACGCAACATTAATGCAAGTTAAATTGCTAATTGAGCGGCCTGATTGGTTCAATACTTTCTGAGCAAAATTTTACCTAATGGCTTTACTAAATTGTGAAGGTTTCGATTTATAGCATATTTAGTTATGGATGGTGTCAATTCTGATTTTTGCTAACAAATGCATTTCAACAACAGTTTCATCAATACAGAGCCAAATTTAAGATACTATATGCGTTGAAATGTCGCCATAATGAATGTGTTTACTATAACTGAAAAGCGCAGTGAAATAATAACCCTTTGAGACTTTTCAGTAAAAACCAAGCCTCATACTACGGTTGATCTTTGAGCAGAAGAAAATTGCTAAATTGAATTTTACTTCAACCATGGAAACAAATTTATTTTTATGTATATGATCACACCATTTCATTAATTATGATAACATAAAGGTCTGGAATAGAACTCTGTAATTTAAAGCTAGTGTGGGTCACAGTGCAACCAGATTGACATGACGATTTCAATTTTCATTGTTTTCTTCAAGCAACTAATTCTATTATTAGCCTACTTGTTTATTCGGGAGCTTAATAGCTTAAGTGACTTTCTGTATTCGTAAGTTTTATAATCGCTTCCACAGTCGTTTCTGCATTTTTAATCTTCTACTTACTGTTAGCATTTCTATTCAATATACCTAAAAAACCTACGTTATTAATGAACATGCGTGGTACTGCGTTAATTTCTATACTCTTTTTTACTATGACTGACAGACCATTTTGTGTATTGCCGTAACATTGGCCTACGTTTGAAATTGCCTACTCAATCGCACAATCTGCCAATTAATTGAAAGTCATTAAATTTTGTTTATTTTAATATTTGTTTATTTATGAAAGAATTAAATATCAAATTAAATCAATGATTATTAGGTCCAATGCATTTCAACCCTACAAAAATCTACTGATTAAAGGGATTTCATGAATTCACATATCATACTGTTGTATTCAAGAAATTAATTTTCCTTCAGTCAATGCTCTATTGCTAGCATTCATTCATGAGCTAATTTGGTGAGCTTTAAATGTCTGATTTACTTGTCATATATTGCTTTTCTTTCGGTTTTCGATACTTCCGTCAAAATCGTCCATCCGTTCAAGGAAAGCAAACTGCTCAAGTGGATCATCGGTTTTGCATTCGGAAAACCTTTTCATTATTTTGTGTTATAATCCCTTAAATTTTGAGAGATTTCAATTTTTGAAACTGATTTTCTGAAAAGCTTTAAAAACTAATTCAACAGAAACAATGTTTATTTACGTGAAATTGAATGTCCTTTCAGGGAATTTCATAAATAGGCAAACAGATAATTCTGACAATGAGTAGTTACAGCCCTTACAATATCAGGTGCGATCGCATTTAAATAGTCATATAAAATGTACGATAAAATTTGAATATAAGATAAACAACGAATTTAATTGACGATTTATTCAAATATAAGTGAAGAATTTGCTGAAGCACATTATTAAGATATTAAGATTGCGGTACCTTTATAGTCTTTTCGATAAAACGCCCTAAAACACAGAGTCCAATTTGTTCATCTCCATATTTCATATTTTATTAAAGAACGATTTGGTCAATCCTGTTGCTTTGAACAATAATAAATAGTTAATTGTAAAATTAACTGATATGTTACAATTTTGAAAAAAAATATGTTTCTTTTTATTTGGAAGTGAACGTCTACAAAAATATTAATTATCAAAAGACATGGTTTGTTCACCCTTCAAAAATAAATTTAAATCTGGTTTAAATTGTAATCGTGAACAAGACAGAGTGAACTGAAACATAAGTGAATGGGACGCGTTCGGTTAAAAATTGGAGTAAAAATATTAACTATTCTATAGTAACTCTTTTATCAGCGATATTTTCTTAAGTTTTTGGATAAAAAATAGACTTGAAAATCATTCCAAGTTATCAGTATAATTAGTTCTTAATGAATGTTTCTGCTCAAATAGGGATAAATCCAATTGTTCCATTAAATTCTCAGTTGCAAAATCTAACACAATTTGAGTCTAAATTTGCATAGATCATATTAGAATAGGATAATGTATTCGTAACATACGCTTTCCGTGAGAGGAAGCATGAAGAGTGTACAAAAAATTTCAAAATATTTCAGTGTCGTGTATACGAGTAGGCGTCTTACTTATTAAATGGAAACTGCTTTGAAGAAAATTCTTCTATTTCGAATAAAACACTGACGAATAGATCATCATCTAAGCAAGGTGTACATATGTCCTAAACTAACGAGGGCGAAGCATTTTTGGAAGGCCTTTGGGTAGAAAACTGGTATAAATGGATAACTTAATTAATGTTTCATAAGTTTTTCCAAACCCTATTTTCAAATTTTACATTGTAATCTCCAATATTATTATGAAGTTTTTGAATGAAACCATTCGAATTTCGGAAATATTAATTCTTTTCTGTATACGTTTTTCAAAATGCTTGAGTTAGATTTGCTAACTCTTTAAAAGCGATTTCAAGTAGGACTATTACATTTTTTTCCTATTTGTGACTTAGGCTCAACTCATCAATTGATATGCACCTTTCCTTCTTAGGAGAAATATTCTGCTTTTGTATCATCGATCATGGAGGTTTATTTGGGTGACCGGATATTTGGTTTCTTCTATACGGCTTGGTCAAAATTTTGGAAAATAACGATAAAAGCAAGATTGAAGGTAGAAATATTGAGAGGAAAATAATTCAATTAATTATCCGTCAAGGTAATTTGAAATGCATCAAAATTTAAAATGCGAAATAGCCTTAGAAATGAAAGAATAACGTATTTATTAATAGTAATTTATCTTCAATCAAGACTCAGATTGAAAGTTTAATTTGTGTTGCACTAACCTTTTCTAATTTTTTCGAGGTGAGTATTAACATTTTAAAATAAGCATCGTCAATATTAATTTGATTTCACAAATCTACTTACACCCCTTAATAATTCAGACGAATGAAGATTTTCAAATATTGTCTTTGTACGGAATCTTTATTAGCATTTGTAATTTAAAAATTTGCACTTGGCGTTTTTTCAAGAATTCTGGCGAAACAAGCTGCATTTGAAAACTAATTCTAATCTAATCTTTATTTAATAGCTTCATAAAAATAATGATTGGTAACTAGAAAGTACGGTTTTTTATTCGCATTATATGAAGCAGATCTATCATTTTATCCCACGCAATTGCCCCTTTGGTGTTTTAATTTTCTGACGCATTTCCTCAACAGCAAGAAAACAAAATTGCTATTGACTCGAGACATTACCTTGGTAATAACTCTATTAGTCTTCCTAGAATATTATCGCTTGCAAAACATCCTCATATGTGTTTCTCACAATTTAAAATTTCAATCAGAGATTTTTTTGTAATTGCATAAATTATAAAAACAATGTCCGTGAACTACGAGGCACAAATATATCGTAGTAATTTGGAAGTGCTAATTCAAAAATATACTAATTGTTTTTAAATGCAACACAAAGAAAAAATATTTTACTCGATATATTTACCAAAATTGTGTTGGAGAAAGAATATATTTTCGTGAAAATTCATAGGTTAACTAAAAAGAAATTTTCATGATTTCTTAGTGTCAATCTGTTGCATTTATCGTAGTCAATTATATACCTTAAACAAAGTATTGACATTGTTTAAACTTAATGCTCATAAAGTAAGTAATATCTCTCATTCGGCAAATCAATAGAGCTTTTTCAATGTGACAAGCAGAGAACAAGGAATGATAGTGATTTGGAAGTCATTCACACTCAATTTTGATATACTTAAACACAATCCAAGAAGTATAAGCGTTCTCAGAAAACATTAAAAATTCTTCTGTCGAAATTTTACTTGTAATAATTTGATCAATTATTAATGTTGAAAGAGAACAAATAATTGCAAATAGGAGGTAACTTATTAAGTTTTTAAATTTAAAAGGAATCTCAAAATACTAAAAGAAATTTAAACGATGTGGTTTTAAATAGCCAAGTAGGAGTTAATTGAACTTTTATGTATTTTTATTATTGTACTTATAACTATGATAGTAGCTATAATTTTATTTTAGCCATTTCAAAAAATTGATAAATATGTTATCAAGAGACAAAAAATATCTTCCAAGCTAATGCACTCCAATTTAAAGTGGTATTTATTACCCCATTGGAGAGCGGATTGTTTTTCAAATCTTTAAATGAAGTCACTTACTGCCAAATTTTGATGTGCAAAAATTAAAATTAAATTTTAGCAGACGTCTAGTGAACGACTGCCAACTATCTTCAATGGTGATTTCATCATAGTGAAGATTTAACTAATCAATTTCTGTTTTGACGCTATAATCAAAATTTAAAATTATGACTTTAGGGAGTAAACAATATGCAATTTATATGAAACCAATATTTACGTTTCCAGATTTTAAATAATGCCATTTGGTATTCAAAAATCTGAGATCCTTGGAGCT